GCAAACCCCAAGGTTTGAACTCAAGAACTCAAGGAAGATAGTAAACCTCCTTGACTGCCTTACCAACCCCTTACACGGCCTTTGGTTTGAGGTAATGAAAGATTACAAGAGTTATGTCATCTTATATTACTTGATTACTATGTTTGGTTGTCAAGTAATATAAGATTTCGGTAATCTTGCATTACCAATAGTTGTTACTGTTGGTAATATTAGAGGTAATCTGATTAATTTTATTTTCTTAGGTATTGTAAAATTACCTTGATAATCTTATTTTTGTTACAATTATATCCCTTATTAATAAAAATTTTGGACAATATACCCCTGTTTTAAAATAAATTTACATTAATATACCATTTCAATTTTACATTTTTTTAATTAAGTTGTTGGACAATAATGTCCTTATATTTAAAACAAATTACAAACCACCACCGCCGACAACGGGCCAACAACCACGGATCACCGCCAGAAAGTCGTCGAAGTCCTTAAAAATGATCGAGATTCATTGGGAGGCTCCGGGAGGCTTCAATATGGCTGTTTTCGGCCATATTGATGGCCGAAAACGGCCATATCAGACGAGATTTGGCCGTTAACGGCCAGATCTAGCCGATAATGGCCAGGGATTTGGCCATTTCCTGCCAGATCTGGCCTGATACGACCGTTTTCTACCATCAATATTGTCAGAAATGGCCATATCAGAGCCTTACAGTCACGGCAACTTTCGGAGACTTCCGGCGGTGGTTTGCGGTGGCGGCAGGGGATGGGGGTGATTTTGTCATAAATTAAAGTTGTATATAATCGGGGTGTTTTAGCTAAATCTGAAATATTGGGGGTTAAAAAAAATTCAAAAATTAATAATAAAAATAATATTATATTAATATTTAAAAAGAGGACAATTTAGTAATTTAAATAACATACCCATCAATTTATTCTCCCTAACCAAACATATTAATATAATATACCCACCAATTAACTAAACACATTTTCTTAAAGATTCCTGATAATCTTCAGGGGGCGTTTGGTTCAGGGAATGTTGGATTACTAGAAAGTTAGATTACCTTGAAGATTAGAGGGAATCTTTAGGAAAATGTGTTTGGTTAATTTGTGGGTATGTTATAGTAATATGTTTGGTTGGGAGGAATAAATTGGTGGGTATGTTATTTAAATTACAAAATTGTCCTCTAATTAAATGTTATTATTATATTATTTTTTAATATTGATTATTATTTGGATTATATAACCCCCCCTGCATTTAAAAACTTAGTAAAAACAACCTCATAATAAAAGTTTGGAAAATCAACAAAGCAGCCCCACCAACCCAGCCATTACCAGCCGCCGGCAACCACCACAGGCCGTCGGCAACCTAACGGCGCACAGAAGGCAGGAAATGGCCTCCATGCGCCTTATGGCCATTTTCGGCCAGAGATCTGGCCGGAAATGGCCAGACGTGACAGATCTGGCCTTTGACAAGCAGATTAGATCTAGTCGTCAACGACCAGATCTAGCATGATTTGGCCATTTCTGGCTAGCTGGCCAAAAATGGCCATATCGGCGCACGACGGCCATTTTCGGCCTTCCGTGTGCCGTTCCGACCGTGGCTGGCCGCTGCGGTGGTTGCCGACGACAGGTAGGTGGGGGTGGTGGCTTGAGTGGGCTGCAATTTGTTTGAATTCAAGAGTAATTTTGTCCAAAAAGTTAATTAATTGGGGTGAAATAGTAAAAGCATATTCATGTAAATAAATTTAAAAATAAAGGCATGATTGTCCTAAAATTTTATTAATAGGGGATAGAATTGTAACAAAAAGAGCCTTGGTAATCTTAGAATACCTAAGAAAATGGAGGTAATCAGATTACCTCCAATATTACCAATAGTAGCCACTATTGGTATTTGAAGATTATCGGTATCTTATATTACTTGACAACCAAACATGGTAATCAAGTAATATAAGATGACTTAATCCAGTAATCCCACATAACCCCCAACGTTTGGTTCAGAAATGTTAGATTACTGGGAATGTTGGATTACTAGAAAGATAAATTACCTTAGAAGATTACTAGGAATCTTTAGGAAAATGTGTTTGGTTAGTTGGTAGGTATATTATATTAATATGTTTGATTATGGGGAATAAATTGGTTGGTATGTTATTTAAATTACTAAATTGTCCCCTTTTCAAATATTAATATAATATTTTTTTATTATTAATTTTTGAATAATTTCTTTTAACCCCCAATATTTCAGATTTAGTTAAAACACCCCCGCTTATATAAAACTTTAATTTATTACGAAATCACCCCCACCTCCTGCCGTCACTGCTGCCATCGCAAACACCGCTGGAAGTCTCCGAAAGTCCCCTTCGGTAGCTTGCCGTGACCAAGAGGCCAAAACGGCCATATCAGGCCAGATCTGGCAGGAAATGGCCAGATCTATTCTAGCCATTTCTGGCCAGAATAGATATGGCCGTTGATGGCCATGTCCGTGGCCGTTAACGGCCAAATCTTGCCCATATCTGGCCGTTAATGGCCAAGGATCTGGTTGTTAACGGCCAGTTCCATCGATCTGGCCGAAAATGGCCAGGCCATCAATATGGCCGGAAACGGCCATATTGAATCCTCCCACCGAATCTCATTCTTTTTTAGGGACTCCAACGGCTTTTCGGCGGCGGTCCGTGGTGGTTGGCCCACTGTCAGCGGTGGTGGCTGGGTGGCAGTGGTGGTTTGTAAATTGTTTTAAATATAATGACATTATTGTCCAAAATTTTAATTAAACAAGGGTAAAATTTAAATAGGATATTAATGTAAATTTATTTTAAAATGAGGGCATTATTATCCAAAACTTTTATTAATAAGGGATAAAATTGTAACAAAAAAAGATAACCCTGATAATCTTAGAATACCTAAGAAAATAGAGGTAATTAGATTACCTCCAATATTACCAGTAGTAACTACTATTAGTATTTGAAAATTACCGAAATTTTATATTACTCGACAACCAAACGTGATAATCAAGTAATATAAGATGACATAACCCTCATTATCTCACATTACCGCCAACCAAATGCCCCCTTAAGGTAATATAAAATTCTAGTAATCCAACATTTCCTGAACCAAACGCACCCTTAAGGTTATCTCCTTTTTTCTTTCCAACTGATTTTTCATTAGGGAAGTGATCATTTTTAGCCCCCATCAAATTGATTTTTCTTTTTATTTTTAAATATATTTTTGTTTTGACAAGTTTAACCTTAATGATATAATAACTTCTAAACTTAATCTCTATTTTATAGTTTTATTTTAATTTTAAACCTTTTATTCTTACATAAATTAGAAAACAAAAAAAAAAAAAAAAAAAATTAGGAAGCAAATAAAAACTTACAAATTTACATTAATACCATGTTACCGGATATATCCCGGTGCAAAATTATGTTTCTTCAAATTCACTGTAGTACTTAATTATTGGATTGGGTAAATTTTCATTGAATATGTTTTAGTGTTTAATAATTCAATAATGCTATGTTTACTCACGAGCTTACTAATCGTCTTACTACTTTTGTTAAAATTACATATGGTAGCCGTACTATGCGTATGGTACCCGTACTATACGTTATATTTACAAAGGATAGTAAGATAGATAGTAAGATCGTGAGTAAGCATAACATTACCCTTAATAATTTTAGGGGTAATTGTAATTATATAAAACATTGTTTGCCTAAGTGTAATAACACACACTTTTTGAAATCCCGTAGAGATTCTGGCCCAACCTGGGCATACGTTAGCTCCGCCACCAGGTAACGTTGACGTGGTGTCACAAATTAATAAATAGATGTTATATAAGTTAGAAAAAAAAAAAAAAAAAGTTTTATAGCCACCCGTATCGTCAATGTAAAAACTATAGCAATTGTTTTGTTGGAAAATAATTATGTATCTTATTATAATACAATTAATTAATAAGTATGTTCGTTTTACTTCTTTGTATACTTTCATTGATTGGTTTTATTGTAGGGTAATGTTATGCGTACTAACGGATTTTACTAATCAGTGTACTAACTTTTGTTAAAATTACATATGGTACCTGTACTATGCGCATGGTACCCGTACTATGCTTTAAGTTAGTATACTGGTTAGTAAAATCCGTTAGTACCCAAAGTATTATTGTTTATTGTAATAAGATGGATTTGAATTAGAACTTAGTTGCAACCATTGGACTAGAGCATAACATTAACCACCACTTACACAACCCCATAAATTGTAACAATTTGCAACCTCACCGCAAGTAACATTGCTGGGGTAAGAATAGCACTATCAAATTACAGTGTCAATGTTCATAGATATTTCACTATTATTTTTTTAATTTTCATAGATTTGATGAATCAATTTCTGATATCTTCATTTAAAATTATTACTATTTTGAAAAACAAATTAGTTAGACACAATTTCAAATCTTGGAAACATATTAAAATATTTATTAATTTGACTTTTAAATTCGTGTTTCCTTTAAATATATATGAGGATATTCTCTAGTTATCAATTTTCCAGCTTTAGCAACAACATCCTATTTTGGACAAGAGAACATAACTTTTGAACTGTTGATGCATAGCAAACTTTTAAAATATCATTTTACTATTTAAATTTATGTTTTGGCGGCGAATAAAAATCAAACTTGGTCAAGGTTGTCGAAGCTTTTGAAGGAGAGAGGCAGATGAGTCTTTTGGTGGTTAGAATTGATCGAAATTTGATTTGAGAAAGGCGATTACACAAACTCTAATCGTTAAATTGGTAATGATTGGTGAGATCGACGGGAATAGGGTTTGAGGGGTTTTGGTGAGTAATGATCAGGGTAAAGAATAGTGGTGATGTGGAGTCGTAACAATAACAGAATCAGAAATAGAATATAAATTTAGATATTAAAATGGTATTTTGAAAGTATTTGAGTGAAAAGGTCGTTAAGTAATTATTTGGGTTTGGCAAAAGTAGTTTACTCTTGTGTTGACGATTTAACTTGTCCAGCTCTAAAAGGTGGAGCTACATTCTGCAGGAAGGCCCCGGGGAAATCTCTTGGTATCTGTGCAGTAATTGTATATCATGTAGTTATTCTGAACCCATTTCAGTCTCTCTTGACTTGTAGCATCAAGCCCTTCGGAGAACCAAGTACCATTGCTGGATGAAGAAGAAGTTGAGTTAAAATTGCAAGAAGATGCTCCATTAGACCAAATACAAGCATCAGCACTGAAGTTTCTGTAGGAAGCAGTGAAAGGAGCTTGAGTCCAATCTGTCTTCACAAGTCCACCTCTAGTAGCCCAGTTGTCAGCATTCCAAAGAGAAGAGTATATTCTCATAGACTGATTCTTCGGGAATGGAACACCAATTGACTCCAAGTTCTTGAACTCTCTCATGGGGGTACCATCNTTTAGTAGTTGCCAAAAAAAATAAAAAATTTTGCAACTAATGTTGCAGTTGCCATTATCAAATTTCTAATATCCAAACTTTGTGTAACTAATTGATTTTGGTTACTAGTAGTATATATCATTTTTAATAAACAATATTTAGTGGCTAACATTTTGGTTGCGAAAAAATCCTATTAACAACTATAACTTTAGTTGCCAAAATAACATACCCAAAATTTCAATTTATTTCAAGCGGGAACATGGGGCGCCCAAATTGATTTGTAGAATTTACCATCCATTTGGCAACTAAAATCTTAGTTGCCAAAAGAAGATAATTTACAACTAACTAATTAGTTACTCAACAGTAATTTTAGTAACAAATTAAAATATTATCTTTTCATTATACCGAGAAAGTGGGAGCCCAAAAAATTCATCAACTTTTAGCGACTAAATACATTTTAGTTGCTATACATGAGTTTTTGCAACTATTTGTAATATGCACAAAATAATTAGTTGCTAAATGTATCCTGGGCCTTTTGTAATTATTGTCAAAAGCTTGGATATTTTGGTAATTGTATCATTTTGCAACTAATAAAAATAGTTACAAATTAATTAATAAATATTTGCATCTAATTTAGCAACAATTCAATAGTTGCAAATGATTGTTTTCTGTAACCATAATTTTAGTTGCGGAATCTCTTGCTGTAGTTGTCAATTGTGTTGTAATGCTGGGAAAATTTACTGCGCAAGAATTGGCAACCCAATAAATCAGCCGCTAATGTGATATTTTCGGCAACAAATCAAATTAGTCAGAGAATATTAATTTTAGACGCCAAAGGCAAGAAAAAATGAGCCCTATAATTTTATTCCCCTTTCACCGACCAATTGGAATTTAGTTGCTAAATGTGGGGTATCTGCAACTATTTTTGCTTAATTGCAAAAAAAACTGGTTGCAAAAAGTACTTTTTCTTGTAGTGCCTGCCTATAACTCAATTAGAATCCTAACAAGTCTAACGCACACAAGACTCCAAGTCTTATGTGAATTCTACCAGTCCAAGGCCTCCAAGTCTCATACAGATCCTGACACCCAAGGACCTTGAGTCCTACAAGAAATCCAATATCTTGGGGTTCTAAAGTCCTACACGGATTCTTCTTGTTTCTAGTACTCCTAGATTCATGGGAACTAGTATTCCTATTTCCATGAAGACTAGTACTTCGAATTATACGATGACTTAGCCTTCCTTGGCTTCCTATATAAATAGAGGCTAGTCCTCTTGGAATTTTATCAATTGGGTGGAATTTTGAATGATTGTTTGTTTAACTTTATTTAAATTGCATGGTTGTGAATTGAGAAAGTTGTTTTTGTTAAAGCGAATTGGTTGAGAGGTGCACGTTTATTGTGTTTGGGGCTAAACTTGGAAATGGTGGAAAAGAGGAGGACCTTAAGGCCAAACACAACCTCATCGAGACGAAGATTTTCTTTGCTACGACGATGTTAGACCTAAGAGCACTTCACAACGGTAGAGATTTGTCATTTTTGCAAATATTAAAGTACAAGCAAGGGAAAATTGTAAGGATTAGAAAATTCTGGGACTAAATTAAAATAAAGGACAAATATGGGGTGTAAATAACATTTTACACGTTGATATTTTCTTAGATTTTTTTAGTATCATGCTCATATTTACGTGCTGTAGAATAGAAGAAATATAAGATATGATTATCAGCATTGGCATAAGGTTGTTTATGAAGTGTGATGTTTTGAACAATTGGGTGAGTGTGTAAAGATGTGTTTGGTTTAGGGTGTGAGGGTGTGCTTGGTTAGGGTTAAGACTACCCTTCTATAGTACTTGTCCCCCCTCCAGACATCAACTAGCTTGTGTTGTTTTTCTTAGCCTCTTGCATGTATTGAGAAGGTTTGTACTATTGCATGGTAGTAGCATCCTATCGGGATAGGACGGACACCTAACAAGCTTCAAGCTGAAGTACAACCATGCCAATGTAGGCAAGGTGGTTCTGTGTGTGTGTGTGTGTGGGCTGTTACTAGTGGGGTATATTTGGCCTCTACGCACAGTTGAGATGGCCAGTACTACCAAATAATGAAATAACATTCCATCCTACTTGGATAGAATGGGCATCTAACGAACTCTAGACATGATTATTTCCCATTGCCAATGTAGGTAGGGCAAGGGTACATCCATGCCAGTGTAGGCAAGATGGATCCGAGTGTGCATGTGTTGCTAGTTTACTTGTCTATATATAGGGACCTACACTGGAGTGTACCTTTGTAGATCCCCTGGGTACTATTGAAGTGGTGGTGATGGTAATCTTTGCTTTAACCACGTGAAGAAAGTTGGTTGACACCGAGCAGAAGTATGCTTGGGTAGGAGTTAGTTGACACCTAGCAGGAGTATGCTTGGGTGGGAGTTGGTTGACACCTAGCGAGAATATGCTTGGGTGGGAGCTGGTTGACACTCAGTAGGAACAAGGCTTGGGTGGGAGTTAGTTGACACTCGACGAGAATTGGCTTTGAGTGGAATTGGTTGATATCCAACGAGTTTGGGCTTGGGTAGGATTTGGTTTTTAGTTGTGAGATACACACCCAGTTTGGAGGTTGCATCATTTTATGTGAATATAACATGATGATCTACAAAATTCGAAAAGTTGGTACAAGGATGTAGATTATATAAGGAAATGAGTAGGCTTGGGTAGGATTTGGTTTTTAGTTGTGAGATACACACCCTTGTTGGGAATGAGTGGGTATGAATTAAGGTTCTACAGTGTTCATAAATTATATAAGGAAAGTATTGCTTCGCCAAGGGCATGGTTACGTGTTGCGTGTTGCGTGTAATGTAAGCAGTTTTCTCATGCATATTTTTAAGGTTAAAAGTTATTTTCATATATGAACTGTATTATCCACTCACTGGGCTCCCCAGCTCATTGTTTTATATTTTTCCCATGTTTACATACAGGGAACGTGAGGCGTTCTTATGCTTTAGGTTAGCCCACAAACGCATGTTCATTGGCATAGTACTTGTACATCTTAGAACACTTTGATACTATTTTTTATGTAAATTGATTTCTAATGCTTACACTTTCAAAATCATGTTTTGAGTTGTATTATTGTCATTAAAGTTTTATAAATGGTTTGAAAAAAAAAAAATTCAACCTCCTCTCAAGATCCTAAGTCCCTTGGAGAGTCTAATCCAATGGGGATAAGAAATACCCAAGAGGGGGCGTGACTAGACCTGGCAAAATGGGTCTAGACCCGTGGATCGGCCCTACCCGGGTAAAATATATAGGGTATGGGTTTAATATGTTGAACCCGTTTAAGTTCTACCCGTACCCGGTCCAACCCGTTTTTTGACGGGTTACACGGGTAAACCTGCGGGTGCCCGCGGGTACCCCTTTTTTGAAAAAAAAAACCCTAAGTCCCTGCCTAACCTATTAACGCCAGTACGCCACCCAACTGACCAACTCTAAAACAAACTCTCTTCTCTCTCGCTCCTCTGAACTGAATCTCTCATCACTGTCAGTGTTCACGTTTTCATTCTCTCAATCTCTCATCTCCTCTGTTCCGTGTTCACGTCACCGATTGCCATCATTCATCGTAGTCGGCTCGTCATCTCCTCTCTCTGTCGTCGTCGGGTGTCGCAAGCTCGTCATCTCCTGTCTCTCTCCGTCGCAAGACTCCATCATTAAGGGTATTTACTAGACACTAGACAGTAGACTGTAGTATGTACTTGTGTAAAAATGTTCAAATTTTTTAGTTTTAGAGCTAAACTAGATCTAGATGTATCATTTCTGGTTATGGTGTAGTTAAACTAGACAGTGTTATCGTTTTCTGTTTTATTAATTGTGGTGATAGTGACATTCTGCTACCATGGGTTCTGGGCTTTGAAATCTCAAGATGAAAAGGCATGGACACTTAGTTGTTATATTATCTATAATGGATTAATGGGTGGATTGATGGAGGGATGTTTGTTTTGAGATTTGAGAGAGTCATTTCTTGAGTTTGTATTCATTCATTGTTGTTATATATATATTTGCTATACTATTTATTGTTATTATACGGTGGAATAAAAGAGATTTATATTGTTATTATCATTTATATTTTTTCTCCTCTGTTTTCTTGAATTTATAATCTTATTGAACTTATGCGTTCTGAAACATTCTATTATCATCGTCAAACACAAATCATTGTTTCAATCTGAATTCTGACAGTTTAAAATCAAAAGAAGGTTTTAATGGGGATAGGATAGCAAATACGATTCATTGTTTTCCTCTTCCATGCTATCTGTTTCCATGCAACTTCATTATTGGTTTATAGGATACTTAATAATAGAGACTGTGGTAATAAGTGCTGCCCTGTGCCTCATTTGGTTGCTGGTTTAATCCAAGTGCCTTTTTCTGTGATATACATCCTGATGTTATTTCTTTCCCTCTTCTTTTTCCAAATGTGCTTTTTCATTGATCATAGTGTTGTCATAGCAGCAACATCCAGAATGCTTTCTAGAGGCTAAAGCTAGTCATAGTTATGTACATCTCTTTTATTGATTGTGCCAGCGGAATGGGAAGGTCAAATTCTAAGAGTTTCAATAGTTTTTCTTGTTTCCTAATAGATTATTGGTCAATCAATTTTGTGTTGTACATGTCTTTATCGAGTCTGAGTGGTTTTTGTTCATAAAACCTTCTGAATATTACTTTAGCAAATTATTCAAACTGGAGACTTCAACTTCTGACATGGCCATGCCTTTTTTTTTCTTTTTTTTAAAAGTAATGGTTGGATTACATTTATGTTTGTGGTGATAGAAGTTTTTGTATAACATTAAAAATTAGTAAAACACATCAGAGGCTTGTTAGATTTGTCGTGTTCCACTTGCTAAATTGATTGGGGTTTATATGCCATTTTGCAGGTTGAGATCTGTTTGACATCCAACATCAGAAGATTCAGGACTGAGACAATTTCTTCAATAGATATTCATCATTTTGGTTAGACTCGTCTCTGCTTT